GCAGCAGTTAATTTTTCCATTCATTTTTGGAGCACAACAAATTTTCATAACTTGAAAAATTACCCAAAAACTACCAGAAATTAGGGCATAACTCCATTACTTCTCTGTATAAGAGAGAGGGGAGCCAAGTCAGGGCCAGTGCCAGTGCCAGAACCAGGGGCAGATGTCAAAGATCTGCTAAAGATCACACTAAACATCGTCGCGTCGCCAAGCAGAAGCTGGAGCTGCGCCTTCGCTCAACTCATTTGAATGAAAGGGAATTCCATTTCCCGGGAAAAACAAACACAAATTCCAAATTCCCGAAGGAGCAGACATAAGAAAATCATTTGTGAGACACCCTTAAAGCGAAAGAGCAAACACTCGGGGGTTAAGGCAAGAGGGTCCACAAGGGTCCAGGGGTCGCCTTTTCGGAATGTAAATGTCGCGTGTTCGGAGACGCGACATTGGCGCGTAAGATTTGTGTGTTTCCGGGGTCGCAATGCCAGTCTCAGGGGTCGGGGGTCGGGGTTCGCCTATAATAGGCTCATTTCCTTGCCTGCTCCTTGGCTCCTTGCTCCTTGCTCCCTGCTCCCTGCTCCTTTAGCATCGTAATAGCGTAAACATTTAACGGGAGCGTGCGCTGCGCACGCGCAACATTGCCTCACACGAGTGCCTCGAGACCCTCGTCGTTCCTAACCCCTGACTGATCCCCGAGTTCTTTGGTTCACTTTTTGAGACTATTGTTTGATATCCTTAAGGATTTTCGCGTCTTATGATTGATTCAGTGTTTTGTTTTGTATTGTTATTCCCATGATTTCTCCATGTTACACGATCACAATCTTGTGGCATTCTCCCTCTATGGCAAGCATGATTAATCTTTGATGCTTCTTTGTGGGTAGGGATTTCAGGAGTGGGTTGCCATTCCAGTAGTTCGTTTGACAAAATATTGAAGTGATTCATGATTTGGCATAAAGAATTGATCGTCAGTGATTGTTGTTTAGTGGTTGAATGGAAATCGAGAAAAAGCTGAACTAACTGGAAAGAAAAGAAAGCGGACAAGCGAAGAGATTTATTGATATTCAATCGCAAAAGAGTTTTAAAAGAGATTAGGTATGTTTTAATTAAAGAATTTATATTTATATGGTTTAAAAATTATGATTGGAGCATTATAAAGCGCTGAATTCAGCCATAGGGGAGGAAATAAAGAACTAGATTGATATCAACGTTAAGACTATCTTCTGTGATTAATTAATTATTAAATTAATAAATTAATAAACAAATAATTAAATTTATTAAATCTATTAAATTAGCTTGGAAGGCCTTGCTGCTCTGACTATAAACATTAATTAAAATGTAGGATTAATCCTAGGCTAAAATATTGTAAATAAATAAAGTAAATAATTTATTAAATATTATCTCAGCTGAAATGTGATATATAAACATCTGTATTTTATTTTAAGAGTGTAGTACAGCCGCTCTATACATGTGGCTTCTATGCTTTTGCTTATCAGAGATTTTAAAGCCATTTAAATTACTTGTAGGGGTATGATCTGAATAATCTAGAAGCAACCGCAGCGTAAATTTAATTTAAAAAATAGGAAAAATACCAGACTCCAAAAGTCAAATAGTCAACAGTCAGTCAGAGACGTAGAAGTACATTCAATGCTTCTGTCTAAAGATGTTTTAAGAACCCCCCAAGTCACTCTTTCACATGTGATATTACGTTCAATTCTTCCATGTTCAATCCTTCCCTTAAACCTTCTCCTTTTGGACTATTCAAAGCAGCAACATCTGAAACCCCTGCAGCAGCCGCAACATGATGCATGTGGCATATTTAACACCTCCAATTCATAATGAATGAGTTAAGAGCATCAACAAACTAAGCAAGAACATATCGATCGCGCGGCTACTGCGCCTGTGTGCCATGTGAAGGAGCGAAGTGCTTGTTCGGATACGCCAGGGATACGCCCGCATGGGGCAGGACATGTGTTAATCAAGCAGCAACCTCAGCAGCTCTCTGCTCCCTGCCCTTTGCAGATGGACTAATTTTTGTGTAACAACGAGAAGTGGAGTCGAGTGGAGTGGAGTAGAGGCAACAGCTGCCCCGAAGGACTAAAAATAGTTGAGAGGCAAGGTGCAGGTTTCAAGGGATAGAAATGGTCTGGTTGTAGGGGGGGTAGGGGGACGGCTGACTGGCGCAATTTATGTGACAGAATTCTCATGTTTTCGCTTAATTTTCATTTAATTTTTATGGGCGCCAAAAACTGTCAGACAACCAACGGCTGCTGCTGCTGATGTTGCTTTTTGGTTGCTGCGATATCCAGCCAATTTTGGACATATTTCAGGGCTAACAAAGAAGGTAACATGAGCTAAAAAACCAATAGAAGACACAAAAACTGTGACAATGAGAGAAAAGCGCAATTGTTGCAGAATTACAATTGAATGCAATCCGGAAGTGTCCTGCGTGGACAAGGATCGATCGCCCAAGTGTTTCACTCAAACAGCACAGAAACTGCGGGAGAGCGAGAGAAACGCTCACTGAGAGACTCTCTCTCTCTCTTTGAGAGAAATCTACCCCTAGGAGATGCAGCGGGATCAGCTCAAAAACTGAGTGAATCTCGGGGAGATCTAACCAGCCATAGGGGTTGCCTCTAAGTAAGGTCAAACTTGACCTCTAAGACGACCTCAATGTCGGCTGGGAGAGAGATTCAAGCGAGCGAGTGCGCGCGCGCGCGCGCTCTGGTTGCTCCTTTTTGTTTGTCCGCTTCCTTTGGCAGGGTCATTGTGTGACCTTTTCTGCCGTTCGCCGTTCTCCTTTGGCACCCGCTTGCCATTGTCTTTTGGGCCGCTGGCATCGTTGACAAAAGGCAAAGGGCATTGCAATAAATGTGATAAAGATTGTTTTTTGTCCCTGTCCGAGCAATTGCTTGGAGACCGTGCCATAAATTGCCCCTAGGTCCAGCCCAGCCCGGTGATCGCTGACCGTTGATCGTTGCTCATTGGGTTTTTGGGTCTACGCTGAATGATGCCTTAATTGTTGCCCGGCAGCTGAAACTGACCGATTCCATTGAATCAATGTCCAGAAATTGTGGGTGTTTAACGTATGTTTTGCCGGTTTTAAATGGTTCGCTTTTGATTGTGCGATACATATTGGGGCATCGTACATATGTAATCCCTTAATTTATGACTATAAACCTGTTATAGGAGAAGTGCAGACTGAGGAATTGGCACACACATTTTTAGGTTACAGTCATATTCAAAACAGTTATGAATATTTCAAAATTACTAGTCAATTAAAATTTGAATTTAACGGGGGCAGAGCTGCCGCCATTATCCAGCAATATGATGGTGGTGCCCTCTGTTGATAGTTACATGAACTAATATTTTGGTATTTTTTGTTAGAATAAGAATGTATATTTCGGTATATTTCTGAGGGTATGACGGTATATTATATATTGATAAATAAAAATAAATGAAACCCACAGCCAAATATCCACAATAGAGCTGTCAAACGATTGATAGTTGAGCCATCGATAGCTTTGAATGTTTTGAAAAAACAATCGATACTATCGTGATAGTATCGGGCTGAAATAATTATTAAAAACCCATTGAAACCTTTTAGGAACTTGTCCATTGTAAAAATTAGATGCCACCTGTCGATTTTTTTTACAAATTTGTTTTCGTATTTTATAGCAGCCAATCCAAACATATCAAAAGCGCAACGACTGTAGCTCGATACTATCATGATAGTCTGAAAACTGTCGATAGTAGGGGCAATCAGTAAAATATCGATACTATCGATAGTGCCCTCGATGGTTTGACACCTCTAATCCACAAAACAAAACAAAAAATGAGCCAATATAGCCACGTTAAGTATACAACATCGCCTACACCGTCCGTGGTGTCGGTCTACTCGAGCGCCTCGCGGCTCCACTCGCACCTGCCGCCCCCAGTGAACCATCGAAAGGATTGCCTGTCAGCGACAACAAAGAGTTACAAATATCTGCGCCGCCTGCTCAAATTCAATCAAATGGACTTCGAATTTGCACTATGGCAAATGATATATCTGCTAATAGCACCCCAGAAGGTGTATAGGAACTTTAACTATAGAAAACAAACCAAATCACAATTCGCCCGCGACGATCCGGCATTTCTGGTGCTCTTGATTGTCTGTCTATGTGGTAAGTGTCGGCCCACCCACCCACTCGTCATCGTCGTCTCCCCACCATAGTAAAAGTTTCTGTATGCTAATTTCTGTGCTCTACTCTGCAGTGACATCTCTGGGATTTGCCTATGTCTTGGGCCTGAGCTTCTGGCAGAGCATCGGCTTCATCTTCTATGTGATTGGCGTGGATTGTCTTCTAGCTGGCGTTATTATTGCATCATTTTTTTGGGCGATTACAAATCGCGTTTTGCGCACCAACAGCCTGGAGCCGGACATTGAGTGGGGCTATGCCTTCGATGTGCATTTGAATGCCTTCTTTCCGCCCCTCATGCTGTTGCACTGCATCCAGCTATTCTTCTACAACTGGCTGATTAGTCACACATGGTTCATATCGCGATTCCTGGGCAACACTTTCTGGCTATTTGGCATGAGCTACTATGTTTATATCACCTTCCTGGGCTACAACTGTGAGTAAATGGTTGGGGGGGAGGATGTACATACATGGGAATGCAGGATATTAATTTTGGGTTTCTCTTGCAGGCATTCCCCATCTGAAGAACACCCGTCTCATACTCATTGCGCTGCCCATTATCTTCCTTTTGTATCTGGTCGTTACAATCATTGGCTGGAATGCCACGATATCCTTTGTCAACTTCTACAAGTATCGCGTTTATTAAACGCCCAATGTGTATTGTAAATTATTTTGCTTTTAGCTACTAAGCAAGTCCACCCTCTCCACTCATCTACGACTATGACTAATAAACTAAACGATCTAGCAATATCCAAAGTTCTTAATAGTTCTTCAATCATACAACACGTTTTGGGTTTATTAATCTATGGATAACAAATGCATTTCTTATGCAAGCTGCTCGGGCTTTACAAAGGTGCGCTTCCGCTTATTACGCTTGCGCTGCAGCTCCAAGCTGTGCAGTTCCGTGTGAACCTCGGCAAAGACCTCCGTCTGCTCCTCCTCGGGTATGGTGGAGCGATATTGTTTCATCAGATCGTACTTCTCCCAAGGCTTTTGCACCTTCTCCGCCGATTTGCGATGCTTGTCCTTAATATACTGATCAATATTCGCCACGCCGCTTAGGTTTTGACGCTCCCAACGCTCCAGCCAGGGCCGCGGACGGAGGACGACTTTGATGTCATTCACCGGCACTGGAGCACCCTCCTCCAGATGTTCGGCTTCCATGCTCTCATCAAACGTGCTGTACTCCGGCAGAGCGTCGCGGAGGTAAAACAGGCTGTCGTCCAGACGCTTCTCGAGACGCAGCACCTCCACTTTTTGGATGGTGGGATCGTACAGCTCGTAGACCACCTCCATGCCCTGGTGATCAATCACGTTCCGCAGTACGAAACGAGCGCGCAGACCGCAACGGTCACGATTGATGCAAATGCCGACAAAACGACTGGTCTTGCCCGCAGCATGGGGGTCGGAGCTGGTCACCGCCATTATGGAGCCCACATAGAACTCCGGCAGATCAATTTGACGCCGCCGGTCCAGCATATCTAAGCGCTCCAGCTTCTCACGGATCGGGTTGCGCCATTCCACTTTGGGATCGGGCAGGAATTCGGGATAAATGAACCGATAATTCGAGGGCACGATGGGCTTGCGTACCGCTGTGGGCGTGGGTGCGGGTGTCGGCAGCTGAGCTGCAGCTGGCGGAGTCGCCACAGTTTTCTGTTCGGCTGGCGGCTCGGCGCCATCCGATACAACAGCGGCAGCGGCATGTTGCGTGGTTTTTGTGGAAAAAGTGACTGAAAAAAGGCGTTGGATGTAAGTTTTTCGTTGGGAAGCTCAAGAGTACGTACCGATTCGATTGAAGGCGCACTGTTGTGCCCATCTTTTGCTCATAGCCCTGCTTACGTTCATTTTTATTAATTTTACCCCGAAATAAATGTTTAGATAATCATGCTTCGTACAGCTGATCGGAAAGAAGAGCTTAACCCACTTAAGCCCCCACAATTTAAACAGTGGAACGACTTTAGTTAATATAATATAATATAATACAGTTTGTAAATTCATCTCGTAGATCCATTCTATCATATCCTTCCCTTTTGCATACAAAAAAAAATTACGACGATATCCTTTACCTGAACAGGGAATGCTAAAAACCCCCCTGGTCGACAATGGGCTAACGTTCTTTTTTTTTATCGGAAATCATATTCATGGGTTTTGATAATAGGCTTAATATTACTAGCTGGCCAAGACACTCTACCCTAAACATATAATTGTCCGCAAATTTTCCGCAAGATTATCCAACTTTAAAGACCTCTTTATTGGATTGCTTTTAAAAAAAATGTTAAATAAAAAAAGTCAAGACAAATGTCAAATTGGACATGGTAACTACACATATGTAGCATACTAACTACATATGCGCAGAAGAAAATTACATATTCAAAGAGAGAGAAAGGAGAGAATAGGAAAATGGTATAAACCAAGGATATGAATGCGTTCCAGTGGATTCCAGCATTAAACAAAAATGCTTTCCAGCTCAAGAATTTATTTAACATGTCGATATGAGTATTATATAATGTAAGAATAGTTAACAAAATTAGGAACCAACTTCCAGTCTTTTTGGCGAAATCAAAAATATAAACCTAACCACAGAATTATTCATTAAAGTTCTGCAAATTTTTTCTAAATAAATGTCGTTAAGTAAAAAATAAATCTTCAAGCACATTCATCGTCCTGATTTTCCTGCAAAAGAAACAAAACCAAAAAAAAATTAAAAATTCAATGGCAATTTTAGACGAGGCAAACGTACAACCAAACGCTTTCCATGCATATTTTCTTTAGTTAAGCTCGCCACGTTGTTAGACGCCGCCATTTTGTGCATCTCCAGTTTGAAACTTTCGTCCTCGCATATGTTCGTCAAGATCTGCAATTGAACTGAATTTTCTGTCGCAGGGCAAGCACTCGTGAGACTCGTGGGTAAGAGTAACATGTTGATTTAGCACACACCCTTGCTCAAATTTAATGCCGCAGAGCCTGCAGTTGTAGGGACCTTTATCCGTGTACTTGCTGGTGTGCGATTCCAGGAAATACTTTGATCGAAATTTCTTGTTGCAAGCTAAACACTTGTAAGGACGTTCGCCAGTGTGAATAACAGCGTGCGCAACCAGGTCACGCCTGCGCAGAAACTTCAAGCCACAATCTGAGCATTTGAAATTACATTCGCCAATGTGAATAAGAGTGTGCTCCTTTAGGTCGTACTTTTTCGCAAATTTTTTGTCGCACTGCGAGCACTCGTAAGGACGTTCGCCAGTGTGAATTTGAGTGTGCCTAATCAACGATTGATTGGCCTTAAATTTTTTGTGGCACTGCGTGCACTCGTAAGGACGTTCGTCAGAGTGCTTACGAACGTGTCCATTCAATTCATCCTTGCGCAAAAATTTCATGTCGCAATGCGAGCACGCGAAAGGACGAACCAGAGTAATGTGAAGAAGCCTGTGCCTATCTAGAGAGTTCTTGCGAGAATATTTCTTGCCGCAATCCAAGCACTCGTGAGGACGCTTGCCAGAGTGTACAAGACCATGCCTTTGTAGCGAATACTTAGTCTTAAATGGCATCTCGCAAATCAAGCATTTGTAAGGACGAGAGTCAGAGTGCGTAAGAGCGTGTCCAATCAATTCATGCTTGCTCACAAATTTCTTGCCACAGTTCGAGCACTTGTAAGGAAGTTTCCCAGCGTGAAAAAGAAGGTGCCTGTCCAAGTTTTGCTTCGACGTATATTTTTTGTCGCACTGTGTGCACTCGTAAAGACGAGCGGCAGAGTGCGTACAAGCATGCTCATTCAGGTCATACTTGCTCAAAAATGTCTTGCTACAATGCGAGCAAGCGAAAGGACGATCCCCAATAGTGTGGACAAGACTGTGACTATCCAGGGAGCGCTTGAGCTGAAATTTCTTGTCGCAGTGCGAGCACTCGTAAGGACGTTCGCCAGTGTGATTACGAATGTGCTCAACCAGTTTATATTTGCGATTAAATGTCTTCTTGCAAAACGTGCACTCGTGGTGAGGACATCCGACGTCCGAGTGCGTATGAGTGTGAGCAGACAGTGAAGTTACTGACGTAAATTTCTCATCGCACTTCTTGCACGCAAAATTCAATTTTCTTGTTTAGTATAAAATAAAATGTTAATATGAAATTGCATTAATAGGCCAGCAGATGGTCTTACTTTGGCAGTGATGGGCTCTTGGTATGGCTTAATGTATCAGTGTCGTCGGTATCGTCGGTGTCGTCGCCGCACTTCATCCTGGTGGGATCAAAAAAATATTTAATGTCTATTCAACCAATCGATATGATTGAAAAACCCACTTCTTTGGCAATGATGGACTCCTTGAGAGACTTGGGGAAAGCATTTCTGAATCAATCTGCTTCGATTTTATCTGTTTCCTGGCCCCACAGGGACTACCTCTAGTAACTTCTTGGCTGCGCTCCAGTTGCCCTTGTTCTTGATGGCGATCCGATTTGATCTGTTTACTGGCACTACGGGGAGTAGCTCCTGTATCTCCTTGGCTACGTTCCAATTTTGAAGGTGATGTATCTTTTTGGTTACGCTCCAGTTGCTCTTGTTCTTGATGGCGATCCGATTTGATCTGTTTCCTGGCCCTACGGGGAGTAGCTCCTGTATATCCTTGGCTATCCACCAGTTTTAATGCTCCTGCATCTCCTTGGCTATGCTCCAGTTTTAGTTCTTCTGTATCTCCTTGGCTGCGCTCCAGTTTTGAGGCTAATGTATCATTTTGGCTGCGCTCCAGTTGCCCTTGTTCTTGATGGTGATCCGATTTGTTCCGTTTCGTGGAACTACGGGGAGTAGCTCCAGTATCTCCTTGGCTTTGCTTCAGTTTTGAAGGTTCTGTAACTTCTTGGCTATGCTCCAGCTTAGCGTGGATCTGCAGATAAATTACGTCGTTGAATTCTGCATTGCATTGAATGCAGTTAAATGGTCCATCGTTTTTGTGGGTGTTCTTGTGCACCAGGAAGTCATCGATTTCCGTGAATGAGCGCGGGCAACGGCGGCAATCAAAGAGTTCCAATGTATTGTGATCCTTGAGATGTCGCATTAGACTGCGTTTATTTGCATAGAAGCGTGAGCACTGGGGACATTTATGGCACATCTCATTCATGTGAAAATCGAGCTTTTCCTTCGAGTCAAACCTCTTGTTGCACTCCGGACATGGAAATTCTTCGGTGCTACGATTTTTTCTGGGAGAAATGCTCTCCTTACGATCCTGACGATCATTCTTGTGACTGTCTTCTGGTTTCTTCTTTTTGGGTGACGGCGTGTTCTTATTTCCAAGAGGTTTTCTTTCGATTTTTTAGTGAGAAAATAAAACGAAATTTAGCAATAATTAGGTTTTAGGAGCCAAGTGGCTTACCTTTTGGACGTCTGCTTGTTATTGTGACAGGACGTGTGTCTACTTAGCTGGAACTTAGTCATGAATGCGTTGCCACACACCTGGCAGACATACGACACCTTGCCACATTGACGCCTGGGGTGGGGATAATATCAATTATAATTTATGTGTGTACAAACTCTGCTCAGTAATACTTACAATTCATGCCATTTTATATTTTCTTCGCGCGAAATTACCTTGCTGCACCACCTGCACTCAAATGGTATTAACTTCGACTGGGTATCAGTTTCGCCCTTCTCGGTATCCGTTGATATGCTCATGAGAAGTTCCATCACATCTGGAGAGTCCTCTTTATTGAAATGCTGCCGATCAGTTGTCCCAGTTTCATGCATCTTTTTTACTTTCTTGCATATGCGTGCCTCCTCTTTTGTGGTATCGTTCTCTAATATTACATTCTTAAGTGTTGATTCTGGCACCTGAGCCAGCTCGGGTATTTGTTCCATTTCAACGCTCATCTTCATACGAGCCTGTCTATCAGCGAATTCCGTTAGAGGATTCCTCAATATGCAAGTGTCTTCCTCAACCGCATCATCCGTGTCAATGTTAAAAGTGAGGACTGTCTCCGTCTGCATTTCAGTCATTGGATCTTTCTCATTTCTTTCAGAGGGAAAGATGATGCACTTGCGAAACTCATCATAAATGTAATGCTCAACTACGTCGTCCAACTTATCGGCCGGCACCGCGACTTCGTGCTCTGGCTCCATCTCCTTGCTTTCGTTTGCACGCATAAGATCCTCCTCCTCGTCGCTATTTGTTATGGTATACGTTTCTTCATTATCCGAAACTTTTGCCAATACTAAATGACAACGTGTGGTGGCCGCCGCAGGTGGCTTCTTTGTTTTTTTTATGGTAAGTTGACGATAATTTGCCATGCTTTGTTCCAATATTAACTTGAAACGATATGCATTTTGGGCGGCCTGAATGCACGAGAGGCATATATACTGAGACATAGCGTCGCCGCGCTGCACAGTATAGTTTTTGCAGCACTGTTGCAGCACATAGGCGATGCGGTCCAATTTGGGATCACAGATATCCGCAAAAATGTACACAAGTGTGACGGAGCCGTCCAGACACACTCGGCACACATTTTCCATCCTTTGGGTTTGCATCAAACTAAATTAACTTAATCTAATTTTTGTTAAAATTTCGGCGGCAAAATTAACGCGTCCATTCTTTTCCATTTCCGATTTCCGATTACCGATTAGCTGGCAACTTTGAAGTGTTGAAGCGTGCCAATCTGGCGCAATAAATTGCTCAAATCACCGTTAAATTAAACTTTGAGTGTTGCAGTTTGCGCATTTAACTTGTAAAAAATACAAGCTAATCTTATCTAATCTTGTTGATCAACAGATTAAAAATTATAAAATTTCTGTGGGGCTTTTCAATGCTTTTTTGTGTGCCCTTTTTAAATCCACGCGCACTTTCCGAACCAAAACCAAACAGGTTGGCAGCACCTTAGCAGTCAGCTGATTTCGGCTCGTTGAAAATTTAGCTTTATAATAATTAATTATAATATTAGTTATGCGAGTGGTGCTGCGGCAATCAAAGCGAGCGATACAGTGATGATCAATGTCTCATTATTTTGCTGGTCTGAATAAATTTTCCTGTAACGTGATCCACACCCAGTGGAAGCCAACAATCAGCAATTGCATTTTGCTCAACCGCAACTCGGCGAGAACTTGGAAGACTTTTGAACGCCACCACAACACGACAAGCAGCCGCCAGAGCAACCAAATGCTGAACCAACTTCCTCTTTATGCCAGCGGCGAGATTGTAAGGGGATTTGGCCGGGGCTCCAAAGAGCTGGGCATTCCAACAGGTTCGTGGGAATTGTACCATGACCGCGAAGGTCGTTTCCAATAGATAACCAAACCACTCATCAATTTTATTTATAGCCAACTTTCCGCTGGAGGTGGTCAAGTCTCTGCCCGAATCCCTGCTCACGGGCGTATACTACGGTTGGGCGAATGTGGACAACGGACCCGTACACAAAATGGTTCTCAGCGTCGGTTGGAATCCCTTCTACAACAACACGGAAAAGAGCGTGGAGACGCATATGCTGCATGAATTCAACTGCGATCTGTATGGCCAGTTACTCAAGATCTGCATCGTGGGCTATCTGCGACCGGAGAAAAGCTTCGACTCGCTGGAGGCACTGATAACCGCCATCAAGGTGGACATTGAGCAGGCCAAAACGAAGCTCGACTCGACGGAAAATAAGAAGCTAAAAGAGGCTACCTACTTTGACAAAAATCCTAGCGAATGCGAATGTAAATAGTTATTCCAGCACGTATCTTATCATTTAATTAGCACTATGTACATAAGTGAGTTCGAATATCGATTCAGGTACTTAAGTTGGGTGTTCAACATGACAAGAAAATAAATTGTACAACATATACCTGCATATAATTCCATATTTTCCAAATCTAAATGATTAACCTTATTAAAAATAACAATCTAACCTGCCCTTGGGATGGAAAACTGCAAACGCATCAGATTTAGATCCGCTATTAGTTCAATCATAATTATATAGCTTTAATTATCATAATTTAATGGCTGAAAGTCTCCGATTTGTTAATTTATTTATTATTAAATAATTTGTTTGGCTAAAAATATCGCGTATTCTTATCGATAGATGCACATTTCCTTCAAAACACTTTAATATGATAAATATCCACTGCGGTTAGATTGCGCTTTACTCATCTGAAATTTCGACTTAAGTTATTACATTTCTCAACCTAGTCTGCATTCTTTATATAGTTTTAGTTTTCTAAGTCGCGTATCGATAGTTATAGCATATCGATATTGCGCTTGATCGGACCGGACGACCCACCCCCCCGACACCAAGAAGCAAGGTGCGCGTGCGAAGCGTGCGAGGAATTTTCGTGTATAAAACCGTTGCGTAAATCAACAGGTAAATCATTCGACGCTTTGGTCCAACTGCCCAACTAACTAGAATATCAAACTGCATTTGTAGCCAGCGGCAGCAGCAACAACATGTCGACGCCACCGGAGCAGCAACAACATGTGCGCGTGGTTGAAACAGCGCAACAAGTGGAGGCTGCCTCGGCATTGACTGCCCTGCCCACGTCCATTGGGGAGAGCAAGGAGTTAACCGGTTTGACGCACGAATGTGGAGTGTTTGGGGCCATTGCCTGCGGAGATTGGCCCACGCAGATGGACATTGCGCACGTGATTTGCCTGGGCCTGGTGGCACTGCAGCATCGCGGCCAAGAATCGGCTGGCATTGCCACCAGCGAAGGCAAGTGCTCCAAGAACTTCAACGTCCACAAGGGCATGGGCATGATCAGCACCCTCTTCAACGACGACTCGATGAAGAAGCTGCGCGGCAACTTGGGCATTGGACACACGCGCTACTCCACCGCCGGAGGCTCGGGAGTGGTCAACTGCCAGCCCTTTGTGGTGCACACGGCCCACGGTGCCATGGCACTGGCTCACAACGGTGAGCTGGTCAACAACGAATCTCTGCGCCGCGAGGTATTGGCCCGTGGTGTGGGTCTTTCCACCCACAGCGACAGTGAGCTGATTGCCCAGTCGCTGTGCTGTGCACCAGAGGATGTGTCCGAGCTGGACGGCCCCAACTGGCCGGCCAGGATCAGGCACTTCATGATGCTGGCTCCCCTCTCCTACTCGCTGGTCATCATGCTAAAGGACAAGATCTACGCGGTACGCGACACCTACGGCAATCGGCCTCTGTGCATTGGAAAGATTGTGCCCATCAATGCGGGCCACGGCAACAGCTCGGAGACCCCGGCCGACGGCTGGGTGGTGTCGAGTGAGAGTTGTGGTTTCCTCTCCATCGGAGCCCGCTATGTGCGCGAAGTGGAGCCCGGCGAAATCGTGGAGCTGACACGCAGCGGCTACCGCACTGTGGACATTGTCGAGCGTCCGGACTTCAAGCGCATGGCATTCTGCATCTTCGAGTACGTCTACTTTGCCCGTGGCGACAGCATCTTTGAGGGTCAGATGGTCTACTCCGTGCGCATGCAGTGCGGCCGGCAGCTGTGGCGCGAGGCTCCCGTCGAGGCGGATATTGTGAGTTCGGTGCCCGAGTCTGGCACGGCGGCGTCCCATGGCTATGCCCGGGAATCTGGTCTGGAGTTTGCCGAAGTGCTCTGCAGAAATCGCTATGTGGGACGCACCTTTATCCAGCCCTCCACACGCCTCCGCCAGCTGGGAGTGGCCAAGAAATTCGGTGCCCTGTCGGAGAATGTGGCCGGAAAGCGACTGGTCCTCATCGACGACTCCATTGTGAGGGGCAACACCATCGGGCCGATTATCAAGCTGCTGCGCGACGCCGGGGCACGCGAGGTACACATACGCATTGCCAGCCCCCCACTGCAATATCCCTGCTACATGGGCATCAATATACCCACGCGCGAGGAGCTGATTGCCAACAAGCTGAATGCCGAGCAATTGGCCCGCCATGTGGGCGCCGACAGCTTGGCTTATCTAAGTGTCGCCGGTCTGGTGCAGGCTGTCCAGCTGAAGCAGCAGTCGGCCGATATTGGCGATGGTGATGGCAAGGGCAAAGGCAAGGCCATGGGGCATTGCACCGCTTGCCTCACCGGCGAGTATCCAGGCGGCCTGCCCGACGAACTGAGCTGGTGATTGGGATGAAAAAGACGATGAAGGAAAATGTTCGGAAAATGTAGTTCAAAAATGTAGGTTCTGGAAACCAGTTTGCATCCCCCGCCCCACCCCCATATATTATTTACTCCTCTACGCTCGCCCCCACCCACCAACCAAACAAGAATATGCAACAAACAGTATCAAAGCCATTGGAGGGCCCGCAATTTGCTGTCACAAATTTATGCATTTAGAACCCATTCCGCTTCTACTATTTACTATTTTTTTTAGAGACTAACAACTATTTTAGGTCGTAAGTGAAGAGCGCTCTCTAAAAAGACATCCACTATACTCATAGTACAAAATGTAGCCTTCTATGTTGCCTACCTGTGCCAAAATGCACTTTACTTTTGAATATCATAATACGTTTGTTAATTGCAAATGCCAATAAAAGACATTTTAATCATAAAGAAAACAATGAAAAATACATCATCAAAAAATTGGCAGTACAGATATCAGATATCATCATCAGCATCATAGCAAGGTCTGTTCAATCAGCCGCCGCCATTGGGTCAATGGTTGTAATGCATCATTTCAGATCTGGACTGCCAGTTGGTTGTCAGCCCTGTATTAGTAATTGAACTAGATCTCGATATCTTGGTACACTAACTTGATCTTGGCACCAATCCGAACCAGATCTAAAGAACAATAAACCATACAGGGACACAACCAGCTACACATCCAGCTACATTCAAAAACTTTAAACTTATTCTACTTAAAATATGTATTACCTAGGATTCTAGCATATTCTCAAAGTCTTTAAGCTCCAGCTCTCTTTCAATGACCTGCGTATACAAGTTATCCAGAGTCTCCTGCATGCGCTGCTTAAGTGTGGCATTTTGAATGGATGCAATTTCCATTGATTTTTGCGTCTGCTGTGACTTCAGCTCACTGAGCTGCCGAGTCAGCTGGTTGATCTTCTCGTGCACCTGCTGTTGTGTGTACTGCGGCTGCGGTTCGTCCATAAACTCCATGTTCTCAAACTCTTCCCGTTTCGTTAGCATTTGGCTGTCGTAGAAGCCGCTTGGGGCTGCCAGATTCGAGCTGGAGCCAGCGGCACTCAATTTGGGACTGCTCGGCTCTTGGCCAAACATGGCTTTGGTGAACTCGTTCTGCTCCATTTTCATGCCGCTGGTGCCGCCCGCACCGCTGGTGCTGGCTCCAAAGAAGTCCGACATCCGTGAATCGTCTGCTGAAAGGCGGGATGAATCCTCCAGTTCGCGTCGCTGCATCGTGTTGTTCCGCTGTTCGCCCTCGTCTTCGTCATCTGTGGTGGATACCTCCTCGCCAAAGATGTCGTGGGCTGCCACGCCCATGTTGGGAGCACGGTGCTGAGTGGCAAAGTTGCT